TCGAGATGTGGTGCTGGCGAAGGATGCTGCGAACTCCCTGGACAGCAAAGTGTACGAACATATCTATCCTGACGCAACTCGGCATAAAAGATAGGCTCTCGACAATCTGCTATCAGAGCATTCTTGGATACTTCGGTCATATTGCTCGTCGTCAGTCCGACAATCTGGACAAGCTAATGGTTTTAGGCAAGATAGAGGGGAAAAGACCACGCGGACGATCACCTAGTCAATGGTCGGACCAAGTAACCGCCGTTACGGGACTGTCTGTTGCAGCTGCCCTTGCGAGAGGTTGAAGACCGTGCGAAATGGAGTAACATCATAAGAGAGGCAACAGACACCTTTCAAGGACACGACCTTCAGTAATAAAGTGGACTAAGAAAAAGAGAGAGATGGACTTTGGTGAAATAACACCAATTTGAGTAAAATATTATCAAACCTAATGTTTAAAATAATTACTACAGTAAACAGTCAAAATATGAAATAGTATATATGATATAGTATCATAAAAGAAACATAGAAATAAGATTAATACTATAGAAATGAAGCTTTCATAAGTGTTTGTAGTAAAACATTCAAAGATAGAACGAGAAATATAGTGATATTCCCTTCAGGAAGTCCGAATTGAAAGATGATGTAGTGACTAAGATTGATACGGAAATGTTATGTTGGTTTGATCATGAATGAAATCTATAAATAAAGAAAGCATTACGAAATAGATATTGTATATTGAGCAGGAATGAATGTACATCAAATAGTTGCTATTCTGAAAAAGAGCTAAATTAAATATACATGTAACTAGCGAGCTTGTACGAATAGCTTTATTAATATGGAGGATGCGAAAGAGGTCTGATTAAATCTGAGCATATGATGTTCTTCTAATTCTACCTCTTTCAATGAAAAATAGGCGTAATTTATATGTATATATATATGTGTAATTTTATATCGTCCGTTGAAACAGAATGTACAGTTTCATGAATATTAATCGTTGGGTTCCAAGAATAAAATTGTAGAACAAATTAAATTTATTTTCAAATATGAAATAAATGTTTATTGAAATACAAACACATAGTCTGTGCGAGTTTATAGCCCACATATTTTATACATAAGTGCGTGCTTATCCCCAACGGAACTTCCACACTTTGCGATAGTTCTATTGTGAACTAGTGAAGCCGTTTGAAAGCCGTTTCGGTAGACCGCAAACTCGAATCGTATAAACTATAAACAGATTTCGACAAGTTGTTTATAATTCAAAATGAACAAATTATTTTTTAACTACTTTTTACCCGCGAATTCGTCCGCGTGACCGGGATATATTGATTAATAAGGGTTAAAAGCCTAAATTTTTCTCTATCTCATATAGTAAGTGTACACTAAATTTCATAGTAATCCTGATAAATGTGAAAGTAAGTTTTTTTTTATGCACGTAGAATGGCCAATAACCTGACGTCCCACCTGATGGAAAGTAGTAACTGTCGCCTATAAACATGAGCAGTGCCATGGACATAACAGAGTATACTGTTTCGCCCATGATACCCCCCATGCGTTGCCATTCTTGAGGACTCAGGTGTTATTCCTCTATACCCAGTAAATTCACGGCATATTCCACCCTTCATACCGAAACACAGCCATGTAAACACAACTGCTTCACGGTTGAAACACTGTAAATAAATATATCGTCATAGTGGTAGAATACTGACGGATATATATATTTAATATTTGTTAGATCCGTCAGTATTCTACGACTATGACGATGTGAATAGGCTACTCGTGGGCCTATGAGCTCCATCTTAGAGCCATCATAGCTTTCGGTCAAGTGAGACGTATTCAATCGCGGGTCCGTTCAATAGTAAAAAAAAGTATTAGTTTATAATATTCAAATATATTTATAGAATATAAACAAATAAGAACAAATATCATTGTGACTATTTCTTGTAATTATTTATATTTATAATAAGTTTACTATTGTAATCTTTTGGAGGAAACAATAAAGAGTATCTATCTATCTATCTATCTATCTATCTGTAAAGAATAATAAATATATATAAACGTACATAAAATAATAAATGTATATATAATGGTACGTTTTAATGTCATTATAAACAAAGACCATTGATATGGCTTAACGGATGTCCGCTTTGCAAGGTTTCCAAATCATGAAACAAGAGATAATAATTTTTATATTAACATTCGTTCTGGGGCTGGATCCGGGATTTCTGAACCTCAGTCAAGCATTATCCAACTGAGCTTTCATCGCTTATATATGACACCCTAATCCTCGTAACCTATCCCTAACAAATAAGACGGCAACTTGTTTGCCTTTCCCAATACTAGATATTTGTTTTCAAAAAAATAACAATACAATCGTGATAAAATGAAAGTTTCCACATTACAAAAAGAATTATGTTAATCGGTTATAAATGAGTAAAGTATCGCCTATTTAACTATAATTAACAAAATTTATTGAAAAAGTTAGATTTTTTTTTTTACAACACAGGGGGCACACGAGCATGCGGCTCACCTGATGGTAAGTGACTACCGCCGCCCATGGTCACCCACAACACCTACGGCATTGCAGGTGTGCTGCCGGCCTTTTAAAAAGGAATATGCTCTTTTCTTGAAGGTTATGTTGTCGTATCGGTTCGGAAATACTGCTGCTGGAAGTTGATTCCAAAGAGTGGTTGTGCGTGGAAGAAAGTGCCTTGAAAAACGCACAGTGGAGGACCGCCACTCGTCCAGATGGTTGGGATGAAATTTTAGTTTATGGCGGGTTGTACGATGGTGAAAATCTGCAGCAGGTATCAATCCGAACAATTCTTCAGAGCACTCCCCATGATAAATTCGGTAGAAGATGCACAGAGATGCAACATCTCTACGCAGTTTCAGTGGGTCGAGCCGGACAGTAAGACGCCGATCGTCAACAATTCGAGCTGCCCGACTTTGAATGCGGTCTAACGGAAGGAGTTGGTACTGTGGCGCTCCTGCCCACAGGTGAGAACAGTATTCCATGTGTGGCCTCACTTGAGCTTTATACAGTTTCTATAATAAATAATAGAATGAAAGAAACTCTGAGTAATTAATCCTTACTAATATTATAACTGTTAAACTGAGTTTGTTTGTTTGTTACCTTATATCGCCTTAACGGCCTAACCAGTCACTATAAAATTGGATATACACATACTACATGGAAAGAATATAAGCAATTTTTTGCCCTAGTCGATAAACATATTCCGATCACCCAGACGAATTCGCAATTAAAAGCTTGTAATGAATAAATGCGTAAGAGAGAAAAAGTATATATGATAATTTTCTCTGATAATCTCCTACTTTATTGTAGTTTAAGTCACGTTAGGATAACTATCTGGAAAAGGGTTTAGGGCCGACAAAAAGATTAAACAAGATGTAAACAAACAAGAAAATGTACACATATTCTGTCTCTAACTATAAAGCCTCTAACTAGAAAGTTAGTTTCAAGAGAATGAAAATATAAATAAACGAACAATTGACCATAAGATAATCTACGGATGTACAACGGTAGTTTTATTTTTTATTTTCTTTTTGTCTGGGCAACTATTTCATTTTGTATTCTCTTCTAGCCAGCTCTAATTCAGTCTATATCTTTGACCTGTCTATAGAACATGAGAGTGTTTTCTTTATCCATCCCATGTAGTTATTTCTCGGTCTTCCCTTCAACAGAAACAAATATACAGACAAACAAAATTTCTAAAAAATATGGTTTTGACTTCTACTGCCCTTATTACAAGTGTATTCTATTGTACAATGCTATTGTACAAGCGACGTCTAGTGACAATTGTATTATATTGTCAATTTAATTTTGACAATGTTTCTTTGATAATTTCAGCGAATCTTGCTTAGATTTTCATTAAGTTCCGTTGAAACAGGCTATAAAACCTTAAGTTCTCCTCTACGATTTGCTGTGAATTATAATATGAAATATATAGCTGTTGGTGTCGTAAGAGGCGATTAAGGAAACTCGGAAATGTGTAGCGGCGTTTCTGTTAAAACATCACCAAAGCCTATTACTGCTTCGGTTGCTAATCCGTCTGCCAAGCGTGGTAACTATTGGCAAAACCCCCCTTATGGCAGAGGCCTGTATTGAGAAGTGAACAGTTAACGGTCGATATGATGGTGATGATGATCGATTATAATGAAATAATTGATTATATATCTAATGTTCAATATTCTATATACATATACCATTTTTATCAGATATCTAATCTATGTTATTTTGGTATGCTATTGATAATATTTTGTTTATCGTACCTGGGTACCTTTAACATACATGATAAGTTATTACGTAATTATAACGACCAGTTGGGGGAGAGAGGGATTGTTAGTAATGCGAACTACCGGTCCCATTGCTAACAATACACCCTGTCAGGTCGACCTCCACGGGGTCCCCCCGCTGGAAAATATCGAGCTGAATTCCAAGTGTATTCATCACGATGAGTCGTGATAGAACACCTGCATTTTTATTCTCTTCCATTAATCACAAAAATCCAATATTTTTATTTTACAGAAAGCTAGGATATACAATTTGTATTCCTATAAAGCCAGGACGCATAACTAGTTATACGAGTATTATATTAAAAAATACTTTTCTTGATCTATAAAAAGTAGATGTCAGAAAAAATGACAAAAAGTGAGGCAAGATATTATCAATAGATTAGAATTAGATAGAATTAAATATTATGCTTTATAAAAGTATATGGTTTTCTTTCAATATAATGGTTTTATTTTTATTCATTATACATTAGTATTAATAATTACAATCGTAGTTAATTACTTTTTTTGTAATTATTGTTACACAAAGTATATTAAAACAAATTTATTATTTAAGTATAGCACTATATTTTCAAAAATAATTCTCTTTGCCACAATATATAAAAGTAGATTTGATAACAAGATATAAAAATAAACAAAGTCCGTATCGATTACCTACTTTTCACGTGTTTGATATCTCCTTCAGTGATATACTGCAACCACGCGCGTCGCACGCGCATTTTGCGCGGTAGTAAAATTAGGTTTTGCGAAAAAAAAATATGAAGAGAAATTCCACCTTTAAATTGTTTATATTGGTACTTTTTGTATCTATTTTGTTACTTTTATACACAGCTGTGAATACAACCAAAAATGGATATGAAAATGTTATTATTAATAGACTAAAAGAAATTAGTGGTGTTGTTAGTGAATACCATGACGTATATAATGAAAATTGGACAAATCAACCTGAAGATGCTTCAAAAACATCTTCAGAATTGGCTCGGACAGAAGAAGAATCTGACTCAAAAGATCCTACCATGAAATATATTCTACAATGGACTTCACCACAAAATGTACCATTTGTATACATGGGTGTCGGTCAACAAGGATTCATTGATAGAAATTGTCAATTTACTAATTGCATTGTGACTTCTGATAAAACCTACCTTGGTGATATAAAGAAATTTGATGTTATTGCATTCGCAGGCCCTGAAGTTGTGCATATGCCTGACAGGAATTTACCACAGGAGCGTTCTCTTGAACAAAAATTTGTTTTTACTAATATTGAATCATCACATTATTATCCAGTTTGCTCCAATAGATTCGATGGATTCTTTAATTGGACCTGGACATTTAGACTTGATTCAGAGGCTCGATGGGGTTATATTATAATTAGAGACGCGAAAAATAATATAATAGGTCCAAATAAAATTATGCATTGGATAAAATTTGAAGACATGGACCCCGTGAGTGAAGAAGTTAAGGCAGAACTAAAAACAAAAACCAAAACAGCAGCTTGGTTTGTATCAAATTGTTATTCAAAAAGTCGCCGTGAAAGGTTTGTAAAAGACCTTGTAATAGAATTAGAAAAGTACAATTTAACTATAGACGTATATGGAAATTGTGGAACACTTTCATGTCCACGTGACAATGAACAGTTATGCGAAGATATGATAAAAGAAACTTATTATTTCTATTTGTCGTTTGAAAACTCCTTCAGTGAAGATTATGTAACAGAAAAATTATTACATGGATTACAAAACAATGCAATACCTATAGTTTATGGAGGTGCTAATTACACAAGGTGACTTTTTATTATGAATTTTTCTTGTTATTTAATGACACGATTACAAGGAAGGTTTATGGTAATTTAACATATATGCCAGTTTTAATGTAAGTGTTCATATTTCTCATTTCAATCTTATATCAACGAGACTATCATGGGGTCATTAAATTAGTTAAAAAGTATTGAAAAACATCATTATATTTTGTCAACTATTTGTTATGTTTGTGATATTTCCAAATTGCCAACTTTACATCGAGCATATTAGCCTTAAAAAGCAGCAAAATATAACCTCTCTATTAAAGTAATTAATATACTGTCATGTTAACTATCGCTAATAAATCTGTTTTATAATTTTTATAAAAAAAAAGTCCAAATATAATAAACTATCTATACCCCGCAATTTTGCGCGCATGTATTAGTATATATGTATGTAAAGTTAGGATATAACCTATTTGTGTAACAAATTTCATTAGAATCCGTTTAGTGGTTTTGTGTGAAAAAGTATCAATCATTCATTAATACATCGTCACAAACATTCTCGTCTATAATAGTGGTCGGATTAAATCTCGTTCGGATAGTCCGATTGATTCTAGATTATGTCGGATTAAAAAACAATCTCATATCTATCAAGATAATTTAACAATTTATAAGTTAATATTAGAATCACTAGAATACAACGTGTTCTATAATTAATCGTAAATATAATTAATTTAAACGTAATTTATCTCCGAGAAAACTTCATTAAGGAAAAGTTTTACCTGTTTGTCTATTACAGATTTATGCCGGAGGGCATTTACTTGAACGCGAGAGAACTAGGCGCTGAGAAGTTAGCAGCCAAGATGAGCGAATTGATTAACAACCCCGATGAATACGCCGAGTACTTTAGGTGGAAGAAATATTATTCCTATTATAGAAGGGCACAGAGCGTGGAGACCGACGATTACTGTGGTTTCTGTTCACTATTGAATAACGAAGAGATGTTACAAAAAACATCAGTTGTAGAGAACTTCAGAGAGTGGTGGGATCCACCAGACTTATGCTAGTTGATACATGTTTATCTACATGTAAATCATAGTGATTAAGAATGTTGTAAATCTAGTCTCATTGAACAGTTTTATGTTCCAAATAGATTATTTATTTACGTACACTTCTTATCATTATTTGTTTTACTTATATAGATATATCAGTCAGTTCCCTACCTACTTAGTCATCATAGTTAATCCTGTCAACAAATTGCTATTCTAGTTTTTTTTTTTTTTGCCATATAAATAGTAATATTTTATTTTTATCTTTATTTGATCTCCTAGCAATTGTTACACTGATAAGATTTAATATTAAAATTACTGTCTATTTATACACAGTGTACAATCATTTTAAAGGAAACACAGCATACTAATTAACAAATAAACAATAATATGGTATAACAATCTCTTGAGGTATTTGACATAGGTATAGTTTTTTAGATTCAATAGATGATTGCTTTACATAAGTTTTAGCTATTCAAATTAACTGCAATGATTTCCTATAGAAATCCCCTTCTGTATCGGAGTAAATATCTAAGTATTGCTTGCAATCATTCAACAGCTTGCAAAGACGTGGTACAGTGGATTTGGCACCAAGAACAGTTCTACGGAATAGCACGGACATTGGACTAATGTGAATACAGGGATAGTGTACAGGCAATCGAAAATGAAATTTGGCAAGAAGCTGAGAACAGTCAATTCTGTTCCTAAACAACTTATATATAATATTTTAAATTTTGTTATAGAATTACAGAGATCTGACGATTGAATAATGATACACACCAAATTTGTAGACTTATACACAATATTAAAATTCTAACTATAACAGTTCTTAACAACAGAAGGCAGCTAAGTTAAAAAAGGAAAATATAAGATTAATCTTGATAATGCAATAAAATTGTAATTATATGTTGTTTTCACATGACAGATAAATTAAGAAAAAATAATAAGAGGGGTCTTATTAAGACTAATAGATGTAATACAATATTTTTTGGAAATTTTGACTGTCTGTCTATATATTTGTACTAACGTCACACAAAATTACTCTGCCCCAAACAGGATACGGTTTTTGCAGCCATATTTCTGAATGCATAACTTAAAATATGGTGTATGTTTAATTTTGATACGTCATCTAGAAGTGGATACATACTTTTAAAATCCGTACGAAGTTAGTTTGAAATAGAACTTAATACCTACCATGACACTTAAACAGCATGATCATAGTAAACTCAATTTATTTTATATTGGGAGGAGATCCATGTTTCGTAGTAAAATGGTAATAGGTTACTAAGATTAAGGTTTAATATACACATGTAACAAAAAATAATTATAGTGTTCTTAAAATACTTCACTTCACACATTTAGCTTATTATAAAATTAAAGCAGTCGAAAAATAAGGAAGAATCCATTGTTTACACCTTGTAGAAAAAAACATACGAGCCAAATTTTTTTTTATACCAGGAAGATGACCGACAAGCATACAATCCGTCGAATGGTAAACTGTCATAGTAGCATATGGACACCTGCAACACTAGGGGTGCCACATGCGCATTGCCGACCCTGAAGAAGTCTTAATATACTCTTTTTAAAGAACCCCATACTGTAGTCTCTAGGGAAAACCTCAGCAAGGAGCTCATTTCACAGCCTGAGCGTTCGCGAGAGAAAACTTGAGAAAAACCGCACTGTACGCAACCATTTTGGTTCGAGCGTGTGATAATTAATAAGTTTATTGGAGCATTTTGTTTAATTAATGGTGTTAGAATCTAATATGTACCGTTATATTGTAACTAAAATTGAATGGGATTTATTTAAATTCAGTTTCACCACAATGCAACAATTAAATGCCCTGGATTTGGACAATAATCTGTACGGTCCACAGACCGTAAAATGATGATACAATTTAGTAATATAAACAGTGCATTGTACATTAGCTGTTACAACTGTTAATTTAATGTAAACCGGACAGTGACCTCTTATTCATATTTATTAACCGGTTAACAACCTACAAAATAGGTATTTTATCTATTAAATGTTTTTAACTAAACAGGTAGAGCGTGAAATAAGTGATAAAAACACTTGAATGTAAATTTTTAGGGGTTATGTATCTCGAAAATAAAGGAAAGGCAAGATGTTTAAGATCACTCATATTTGGTCAACTTAACTGTCGCAGATAATTTTCTCACTATCTTCTAACCAAAACCAAAATCACAGTCTAAAGAATTATTTCCTACGCATCTTCCAACAAGTATATCTAGATAAAGCAATGCATCCTGAATTGTCATATAATAGTTTGGAATATGCTAAAGACGTTGAATCTTATTTATATTGCGCTACAGCATTCTAAGCACTTTTATAATTAATTAAATTGTGGTTTCACATACATTATTCTTTATATAGAAATTGGATACAATTATAAATATATATCCAATTTGAGAAGAAATGCTATATTATAATAATATTCATTTATTCAGACAACATTAAGGTCTATTTTGTAATTTAACCTATGTTAGTAAATGTGCGGTCCTGACACTCTTACATTGATAACTTGTTCCACCCAATATTTTAGGATGGGATAGTCCATTCTACCGGCAATTGCAAATAAGCTATGGATGTTGGCCTTCAATTCAATTGCTCTCTCTGATACGCATCTACAAATTCAGAGACAACTATATGAACAAAGGTTTTTGCCCAAAAAAGCGCAACCCACCATTAACCACTCCTTGCAAATTCATAACCACTATAGCTTCCAGGGATGACGACATTTGTTACTAACAATATCTTTCCTGTAGATATAAATAAGTATAAACTAAGAATTGGTATAGGTACGCCCTTATAAACACACCAAAACAATATAAAACGTTTTCCAAACTATAAAATAGATAGTAAACAATATTTTATACACACATTTAGGTTTTGGTAATGTACATTGAAACTGTGATTTCCAAATACATTTATACAATACATGTTAAATATTTACATAAGTCGTAGTTTGAGTGACAAAAACGCGAACCAAACTGACCTTATAAGACAATCGCTACCGTCAGTCACATAATTTAAAATGTGACCTCACTTAATATACACTTTATGACAATTAAGTAAGGCTCAATGTTGATTGTCGCCATATAAGAGAAAATACAGAATAAGCCCAATTATTGTTACATTTTATGCATTTTACGCATGGCTTAAGGATAGTACCAGCTATTTGTACAATTTTATGACTTCATCGTTTGTTGGTGACAAGAAAAAATACAATATCTTACTTTCATTCTCTAGGCGTGGTTAAAGGCAATTAATGAAATAAAGCAAAAAAGGAATAATATACTAGTCAAAGAGTAAGAGAATTCAAAAAGTCCTATTCCAAGCTATCTCACTAGTGTGGTAATAATAGCCTAATATTTTCCTCTTTCCCATGGGTGTCATAAGATCCAACTAAGGGATGGCGAGGAATGGGCAACAGCGTCCCTCTTTAAACATCTGTAAAGTCTGACTGCAGTTACTAATTCGCCTGCCAAGCGTGGAAACTACTAGCAAAAATCCCCAAGGGGGAATTTTATGTTTAGCAGTGGACAGTTAAAGGCTATAATAATGATAAAAATTATTCTCCTCTTACAGGGCTGTACTCGGAAATGTTATTCAGTAAAATATCATATTCCCCTTTGCAACATACGTCATATTCACTTTCACTTCATCTACTTTTCATGTTCACAAAATTTGGCAGTGACAAATGAGAAGAAATGTTTTGAAAACTAAAATGAATTCCTGAGGATGATATGGTCCACACTTACCACAGTGCACTCCGCCGTCTCCTTAAGGAAATGGCACTGTCATCTATCTTATTTGTTTACAGAAAACCAAATGTAAATCATTCGCATACCCACTAGTGAAATTCGAGTTTAACATTATAGAACAGTATTACTGAAATGGGACATTATTGGTTGGTTGATATGAACTCTTTGTACACATCGTTTGTCTAAAATTACTCTGGTGATAGAATTTTGGCGTTGGCTAAGTGATCACCACTATTTTAACTATTTCCAGGGTTTATATTTTATATGCTTGATTGAGACACGAACGCAATAATTCATTATTAGGATAAGTAATGATAATAACAGGTATACTTAATAAACGTAATATAAAATTTATATATATATATATATATATATATATATATATAATCCAATCGCGATTAGGATATACAAAATAAAACTGAACTATTAAATAGCTAATAATGTAACAGAAGTAATTACCTATAATTGCAGGGGACTAACTGCTCTATTGGTAGCATTGTATCCTATCATGTCGACCTCCACGCGGTTTCCCCTAGAAACCATTATGGTTAATTCTTGTAAAATTCATCGCGATGGGCTAACTGACCTGCTTACATTTTCATTTATCATCCCTTACTGGCGCCATGCCAGTTTTCAGCGATAGCGCATTCTGGGGTACTATTCCATTTTCACCCATCAAAATAAATATAATTGTAGAAAGAGAATGCCAGGCTAATCCTTAATCTATGCATACGAGTAATGCGTGACAGCAGGACGTTAATGTTCTTGGTTTTGTTATCTTATCTATAGTTGACGGTATCTACTTTTTTCAGGTAAATTACTATTTCACTTACTATAAAATAGACTGTCATATTGTTTACCATTTCTTTAACGAGTGATGATGGAATGGTAACTCTGCCTGAACCATCGGTTTACGTTAGCAGGACACTAGTGACAGATAATAGGTGTGGATGAAAGCGGGTCCATTAGCCGATCGTCACGAATTTAAGAATATACCGTGATGGTTTTCAGAGGAAACCGCGTGGAGATTGATCTGACAGCAATGGAGCCGCTAGTACCTATTACTAACAATCTCTTGTTTAACATTTTCGGTAATATAAGTACAAGTCTGTTTAGAAACATTTTTAAATACAAATGTTTAAGCATTTAGGCTTCACATGGGGGTACCCTCTTGAAGGATTGTAATTAATTATGAAAGCTATATTCAAGTTTTACGTCTAGTTTCGAACTCAAAAAGGACGTCTTATTCATGAGCGTGATTCGCATGAACTAGTCGGGTATCCCCGAATTTGAAACGTGAGTAAAACCGACATAAATACTTACAATACTACATAGTTTACGACAG